ATTTGTGATATGTTATTTAATCACGCTAGCCCAGTTTTCGGAGAAATGACTTTGATCACTTGTAAATATCAACCGTAATCCTACTGTATGGCTCCATCGTGGGGGATGGATATATTTTCGTAATCAGCACATTCGATTACCTCACATGATAGCATTACTGGGATTTCAAACTTCATGCGTTCCGAGTAACAAGCTGTCGCTTAAGTTTTTTTTTGGTTCTCTAAACTTTAAATTCAAACACTTCTAATTTAACAAAGCCCAAATCAATGGATAAGCCAAGTATACCATCTTCCTGCAGGGGACCTCTTTTTTAAAGAATTGTACAATGCCTTGCTCCAAAATCTGCGAACATAGAAGATATTTAAGTTTGAAGGACGGCACGAACGTATTTTACAATTTAATATACATAGCGCTTTGTTTGCACGTACGTATGTATGTGTGCTCCTCTTCTGTCGCAATTAGTTCATTTGTCTAATACAGCAGAGCAGTTATCAATCATTACCACGTTCAGTGAAGGATCATATGAACATCTAATGTAAAAGCATGACGGATGGTGGCTAATGTTGGTTGGACGCGTTCAGCGATTGAACAAAATAGCTCTGCGCTTTTCGCCCTTAAGGCCTGAGAAGTGAGGGTAAAGCGCTTCAACGTTGTTTGTTTTTTAGCCTAAGTGTTTTCTTACATCTATCTTCCCGCAGAATCTTTAGTCGAATATCTATTTTCTAATCCCGGCTCATCTATATTCAGGTCTTCGCCATGTCATTTTGCCCTTAATTTCGTTTATGCTGCTTTTAGAAAGGCTTCTTCTCCTTTTTCTTCTTACCACCATTCCTTTTCCAGCAAAGTAGTGTGTTGTCTTTGAGGTTGAAATGCAATGCGATAATCGCTTGTAAGCGAGGACTTTATGAACGATAGCTGTTGCCAACCAGTAGATTGCGTGCTCTTTGCGCAGCTTGGTGCATAAACGCAAATCTCGGAACTCCGTGTGCACTGCTCTCCTCGAGCTTGTGATGCCTATAAAAAAAAGAGAGAGAGGCAAAAGCAATATGATGTTAGAGAGCAGTGAGTTAATGAGGTAGAAACTCTATGACTTTATCAAGCTGTGGGATTCTCCGAGAATAACTCGACATTAACAGACTGATTCAATTCTTGATAGAATTTCTACCTTTGCTCGCATAAGGACATAGACATAGTAGTCGATCTAAATCATAAATGACCTGTTGAGTTTGAGTTATGGCAAATGTACAGAATTCATGACTACGCTGCTGCTGCAGCTGCCAGGAGTTATCGTCCATACGAACACCTGATCACATGTGACTCTCACTAAGCAAGGAAATCCGGCTTGCGATTAATCTACAATATAGCTGTTCTGAAATAGTGGAAGATTCGCACCTAGGCCATTTGGATTTGGATGAAGGCGGGAGCGCTTATACGCTTGTTGACTTACGACTTCCAATATACTAGAGGTATTTTTTTGCTTGGCTCATCAAGGACTTCTATGGCTTCCGAGTTGCTTCCTGTTTTCATCCGTCTTCAAAGCGTCAATTTTTTAACCGCATGACTCTAGTTGCGATTTCCATCTCTGTACAGCCTCCACAATTCTTTTCTACCTTTTCTTATCACAAGAAGAGTAGAAAAGAAAACACCATTTTCTGGTACACGAATCCGAATGCGCTGTGATTTTGAATGCTTTGCCGCAATTTAGTAGCTCATAGCTGTATTATTGATTATTGTTATCTCTTGAATATATTCTTTCATCATTTCGCATTTTTTCATCATCATGGGGTCTTGTCGAAGAATTCCTCTAGATCCAAGAAAGCTGCACGCAGCTTTTTCATTTTCCCCTGTAATTCTCTATCACCATCCGTATAATGTGGAGGGCGTAACAGGCACCATTTAAAAGTCCGCTTGTGTGACCCTATCGCTCGAAGACGTGTCTTAACTACTATTGCTTTAGAGTGTGCTTCACCAGCCCGATTGTTGTTTATTGTACTGCCCGCGATAACGCTTTCAACTTCCATATCGGGATGCCTGAGTTTTTGGACTATTCATGGGGCGTGCCTTTAGCTTTGAAGATTAGATTAAAGAGGCTTACAAGAAAAAGGCTTGGCCGTCTACATTGTTTATAGAATTCGCTGTGTCATTTGAATCGTAGCCTTTTCAATTTTGAGTCGATTATGCGAGTCATACCTCCTGATTCAATGAATGGGTCCTTGCAAAGTTCAGTTGATAAGTCCTTCAGTTATCTCCTGAGGTCTTCCTGAGGTTGGCCTTGAGGCTAAATTGGTCTCCTTTGCA